GGGGGGGCGGGTCAGTGGGCAATTAAATGTGCTAGCACGCATCTGATAGCTCAGATGTTCCTGGAAAAATCCGCCACGGATCAGGAATCATCAGACCCGTCTAGCGGAAGGAAAGGCGGAGTTAGGTTGAGGATTAGCACGCTAATTACAAGCACTTTCGCTTCCCGCGCAGGGTGAATGAAGTGTATGGGTGCCAAAGAAAATGTGTGGCCTGCATGATTGTGTGAAGGTTCGAAGGCGAAACTGACTTCTCGTTGTCGTAGTAAAGTTTCCCGATGGCCCAGGCCACGATGATGGGGAACGGGATACCTGCACAACCGCAAAACACAAAGCATACAAGACATGACCATACATGGACAGCAACTTGTTTGCGTGCTCGGAATCCGAGCACACTTGTGGAATTAGCCCGGTTTCGCGTGATGCTCGACTGCTAGCTTGAGTTTTGTTTCTGTTTTGCTTTTTTCAGTTGGCTGCTTGTGCGGTGCCGCCTGATCATCAGTCAGGTTCTCAAGCGCTGTCCAGATGATTTTGTCAACTTTTTGCACTCGTTCGCTGGTGTGCTTTTTCCACGCCGCGTTTGACCTCGTTACACTTTTCTCACCCTCGGCCGATTCTCACATCTCTCGTCTTCCTTTCAAAACGTTTGCGCTATTTTTAGTCTGTTGTCCTGTCGCCCAAAAACGTTCCGAATTCAGCTAGCGTGACCGCTCTGTTCTCATTTTGTGTTTTTCTGGGACCTCGCGTGCGTGCGTCTGCGTACACCAGCCGATGCAGATGAACATCCACTTGCGCAGCTTGTCAGTGGAGTACGTGAGCACGATGGCGGTGTGGAGGTAGCATCCTTCGCCAAACATCCAGAAGAAGTTGGTGGAGTGGAAATAGTTAAAGGAAGCTGTCACCAGCCGGCACCAGACCTTCAAAATAAAACACACACGCACGCTCTCAAGTCACTGGACTTGTTTACGGCAAGCACGGCTTGTGTGCTCAAGTGCCACGTTTGGATTTGAAAACTGACAGATGGCCTCAAGTGAACAGTTGCATTGAATCCGATTTTTGATTTCCCGGGAGGCTTGACGAATTTATGGGTTCAACTGTTCAATTTATTTGACTCCATTCGTTTACAATCAGAGAGTGAACCAACTCATTAGTGGGAGGAATTAATTTGAAACAAGAGGAGGCATTTTAATGGACCAATTTGGAGCGAAAAAGCCGAAAGTGATATTGACGCCTCTTGGTAATTTCCCCCACTGTCAGATCTCGTTGCCAGACGAAAGAAGTTTTCTCGGCTTCAAGATGTTGTCGGCGGGTGGGGTTGCACTCACCACGTTGCTCTCGTGCACCTCTGGGCTCATGGTGAGCTGCACCACGAACCACGTGGCGTTCCTCAGGATGAAGGCGCTGATCAGGTTCCAGTGGATGATGTTCCTCAGGCATCGGATGCTCCTTTCCAAACCGCCAGCAGAGAATCAATCGGCACGTTGTCGGAATAACAGGACTATCTTCTCCAAAGAATTGATCAGTATATTTTCGAATATCAAATCAAACCGGAGAAGCTTAACTGGGGCTACACAGATTTCAAACAGTGAAGGCCTCATCTATGTGGTAAAATGATCCCAGCAAAATGTGTGCTTGAAAATTGGGAATGTAGCACACCACAGCAGGGGGGGGACCGCATTTGCATCCAAGACATGACGTGTCTCATTTGTGCTCTCGAAAGTGCAGGCAGGAAGCGGCGCAGGCGAAAGGAACATTTTGTGACACCACCCAGGGAAGGTCGCTATGAGCCCCCTGACGGGGGAAATACGCCGGATGACCTTTCATGCTTATTAGGAGGACAGGTGTGCTTGTTAGCGGGGCGGGAGCGGCTTGTTAAGAGCTCAAGTGAAGCTAACAAGACAACACGTCTTGTGAGCATGTTTTGAGGAAGAAAAGCTGCCGGTCAGATTCAAACCCAGAACCTTGAAATGCCGAGCGGAAGTGTTGACCGCTTGCACAATGCACTGTGTGAGGTGATGACCTGGCGTCTTGTGATCTTTTTGGAGCTCTTTTGCTCCATTTTGTTGAGTGCACCTCCCCAGGGGTGACAGGCTGCCCCAACACGACTTGTGCATAAACGCGCTCGTCTCCAGCTTTTTGCTTTTTCTCCTTCGCGCTTTTCGCACTCTCCCAAGTCTGCAAGTCAGCCCGAGATCGACCACCTCCTCGGCCAGTGTGAACCCCCCCGTGACACGTGTGTGTGTTGTGTGTTGCCCATCCCTGTACCTCCCCAGCCCCAGTTTCCCACATGCCCCCCCCCCCACCTTACTGCTGGCATAGATGTTTGGATCGCCTTCTTCCACACGTATGGAGACGTGTCCTATTTGGCGGTGGATTGTCATTCCGTGACCAAATGGGGCTTTGCAATAAGATGTGGGTGGTGGTGAAGCGCAGGAGGGAGTGGGGGGTGGCGGGGGGGGTGGGGGGGGGGGGGGGGGGGGGGGGGTGCTCATGGCACTTACCTCAAACACAGGAAGAGGAAGAAGGCAACCAGCAGCGCCAACATGGAGATGACATGACCCAGGAAGTTGATGATCACCGCCATCTGGTAGTGCATCTTGCCCTTTTTCTGGAAACGCCAGCAAACACCTTCGTCATCATCATCATCATCATCATCGGAATTTTTAAATTTCTTTTTCTGGGCCAGTCGTGGAAGCACGCATCACGACAGAAGGCTGTGAGCCAATCAATATTGGACGTCAAAGCAACCGCTGGCGAGGTGTCCTGACATTCTGGCCCACGATCCGCTGGGAAACGAGGACAAGCGGCAGAAGCGACTGATTGGATGACGTCATTTTCTTGTTTTGAGTTTTGTTTTTTTTTTTCATCGCTTCCGGTGGCGATTTTTGAGGGAGCGAGCGAGCGGGCGGTCGGCCTGCATTTACGTAAGCCGCTGGTGTCTGCGTGGGGATTAAGACCTTTAATCCACACATCAGCTCTCCCAATTCGACATACACACCTGCCAGCATGCTCCTGCGCAGGACACCCCACCTCAAAAGCATTTTCATTTTGAGTTCATTTCGTAAACAAAACATATTCGTTACTTCATTCGTTTTCCTTAACTACAATAACCTTGCCCCTGATTCGCTCCTCAGTCACTACAAAGACATTTTCGGAACTATCCCGGTCTGGGAAAGAGTAAATGATTGGAGAACAGTCCAAAGCCGCGCTCGTGCGGATGGCTATGCCTGGCGACAAATTGTGCTGGCACCGCATCAGAAGCAAAATGTGGAGCGCAGCGGGGAAATCGTTTTTGGCAAACAAAGAAAAGTCATTCAAGATGGTGACCCAGAAAAATTTTCAAAATGATTTGAGACTGGCTCACCTCCTGGTTCAGGATGGCCTTGCACATGGAATAGTTCCCCTTAGCGGCCCAGGTCCCATTGGACAGGCACTTCCTGTACACATTGTCTACAATCACACACACACACACATGCCACATCACTATATGCGAAAAACTGCTCAAATTGATTTCCATAGGGTAACAGATGACGGACAGGTAAGGAAAGTCTCGTGTCATGTGACCCGAGCGGGAAAGATGGGGACGACAGGCGTGACCGGCGCGTCCAGAGACCAAAAGCCAGCAGCATGCTTCCAAAATGTTTGGAAGCATGTGAGTAGACAGCGTAGCCCGAGGGCGCCAAGGCGCTAATGTGCTCGCGGTGCGCTAAAAATAGTGACACGGCGCTGAATGGGAAAATGTCATCTGGCATCAAGATTAGCCGCATCACGCTCGAGTCCCCGTAGCCCAAACCGGTATGGGAACGCGGCGACCTTGCTTGAGACTCCTCCGCAGTGATTTGACGCCGTCTCAGTGATTCTATGCGACGTCTACGTAATGGACCTCCGTGTTGTGACTGGACGCATCGACTTGATGCCGTGACTGCACGCCGATGGCTCCCGTCACCGGTTTGACGCGGTGGCGTCTTCGCACGGATGACTGCAGAGTCAACACGCAGCAACCTGAAGTTGAATCTTGCGAATGATCCTCTTACCGTCATGGCGGTGTACAAGCGAATTGAAGGCGTTGCTCCACATCAATGCAACACACGTCACCCTCCAAAAAATATATACTTCTTAAATCATAAAGGACACAAAAAAAAAAAAAAAAAATACAAATGAGTCAAAGGTACAACGCAAATTCAGCAAGCGGCCGTTTTGGGGATTTCCCTGAAAAGTTGTCATTTTGACAGTGTGAGGATTTCAACCGACAGCAACAATCTGTTATTGTTATCTAGTTATTTTTGTCCGACACAGTGACTCGATTTCTGTGAGTCAATGCAGCGACTCGATGACTCGACGCTGGACTCAGCTGCAGCCGTGGCAAGTCACCGCAGTGTCTCCATGCAAATGTTTGCAGGCGTGCAAAAAGACAGCGCAGCCTGCGGGCGCTAACGTGCTCACGGCGGTCTGAAAATAGCAGCACGGGCACCGAATGGGGGGAAACATCCTTTCGCATCCAGATGAGCCGCATCGCTCAGGAGTCTCCGGAGCTGCGCAAACCAGCATCAGGCACGACGACGCCTTGACCTTCCTGACCGGGAAGCTCGCTTAAGATTCCTTCGCGGCGCTCAAGACGTCAGCCGGCTGCCAAGCGAGCGCTCTGTTAAGCGAGCGTTCTGCCAGGAGTTCTATTAGCATCATATTTCACCGCTCAACCGCCCAGCATCGTTGGTGGCGAGCAGGTGCCAAATCTAAGTGCGGGATGCGGAACATCCGACACGCTCTGCCGCGGCCCGCCCGTCCTTCCTGTCCACTAATTAAGGTTGCGGGAAAAGGGTTTGAGCGCTTTGGTGGGATTGAGCTGTTTGGTCACCGTGGCGACCCAAGGCTCCAGTCGTGCATAGGTGGAAAGGATCCGTGCATGATTGACTGCACAGTGCAGTGTCACAGAGAAGCCGGTCCACGCACTGACTCAAATTAAGCAAGGACGTAAGTGATTCCGCTCAATGACTGCTTGCCTCGCGTGCACTGTCTTGACACAGTGTCTCGATGCAGCGAGGACTCGTCTCAATCCCAATGCCAGCGCCTTTATGTTTGGATGCCGTGACATCTCTCAATCACTCCCAAGTAGTGACTTGATGCAGTGACTCATCTTGACAATTCTCACTGCCGTCTTGATGCAATGACTCACTGGAAGCAAGCTGACGCAGTGAGTCAATGCAGTGCCTGACTGCATCGCAATTTTTGCACACAGTTTGGCTCGAGATGCAGTGAATGATGCAGCAAATGGATGACTCCGATTGGATGCGATCACTTTCCGTAGCAAGTCGATGCAGTGGCCACCGCGGTGGTGCATGAAGACAACACCAAAGCCAAGACTCAGAATTTCCACATGGTAGTGTAAAACAAAACCCATAAACAAATTTTCTTGCCGCTTTGGACGCGGCCGACAGACGTTCCGCAACCCAAACACGCAAAACTCATGTTTGCCTTTGGGACAAAACACAGAAAGTGGAACACATTTCCACACTGTACTGAAGGGAACTCTGTGTGTGTGTGTGTGTGTGTGTGTGTGTGTGTGTGTGTGTGTGTGTGTGTTCGTTGGATAACAATCCTCCAATCCCACTGCACGGAAGTGCTGCGTGCTGCTGTGTAGGCTTGTTAGCTGGCGTACAATCCCCCTCCCCAAACCCCCCCACACACACGCGCGCTCACACCTCCAGATTGACTTCCACAAATCAACAGAGTGAGTCAGGGGGGGACAAGCGGGCTGCTGGTTGCTGAGGAAAAAGGGGAATGGGGCGGGGTTCGTCTGCGCATCCAGCAAGTCGCCTCTGGAGACCACCAAGTGAAAGCGGTGGGAGTCGGGGGGCTTGGTTTAGCTGTTTGTCTAAGTATGTAGAGAATGTTTGTCCTGTCATCAGTGTGGTTCTCCATGTCCAGGGAGGATCTCGCTAGCGGGTATGAATGAAAGAAAGAAAAAGTTTTTTAAAAAAAATAGAAAGAATAAGAAACAAACGGACAAACAAACGATGGTCCAGGATTTGTTGGAATCTAATTTTGGAAATCCAGCCTGATTCCAGCGGGATGATTCATGGCACATATTCAGCGCTCACAATGGGCAAGATATTTTTAGAAGGCAACGCTTTATTGGGGATCAGGTTTTCTTCTTCTACTCCTTGGGGTTTTCTTCTCCTCCTCCTCCTTCTTCTTTTCCTTCTTCTCACCTCCCTCATACTAATTTCCACTTTCAAAACATCCTTTTGCCAAAATTGTAATGTTCAAGGTCACCCAACCAGGATTTGACTTTGACGTTTTAAAAAATGTTTTCATGGTGACGGGAACAAGATTCAAAATCATCCTGATTTCATCTTTTGCAGATTCCCAATCACAAGCTTTCCAAACAAAGCATCTGGACCGCAACATTCCAACAAGAAAGAACCCCAACTTTGTGTGTGAGCGCGCGCGTGTGTGTGTGTGTGTGTGTGTGTGTGTGTGTGTGTGCGCGCGCGCGTGTGTGTTGGGGGGTAGTTTGCAAGGTCACTAAAGTGATAAACATTGACAGTGGCACTCTATAAAAATATGGCAAAGGAGTCATGTGACCTGGCCGCTGAGCTCATTAAATATTCAAGAAGGATGAATAATGAATTGGCAGTTTAAAATAGAGCACTCAAGTATACTTTACAATCAATAACGTCCATAGGGTGACTGTGAATATTTCCCCCAGTGTGACTTTTTGTTATCGTTCTAAAAGTTTGGATGACCTTGCTGCCAAACACACCAACACGTAACGTTAGCCACGCTTGTTAATATGCAAACAGACAAATTAGCCATGCTGGTGAATCCTTCCAACAGCCAAACTGGAAAACAATATTATCAACGCTGGTCAGCATGGCAACGGACTCGTGATAATGGCAAATTCAAATTACATTAGACACGCTAGCTAACACACTAACAAACTCAATTAGCTACACATGAACATGCTAGCCTTGTTCTTGTCAAAAAATGTTAGCCGTTTGCCCCCCTCCTGATCCCCGTACTTTGATGAGATTCACATTGATGTTGTTGTTGTTTTTTTTTTTTTAAATGTCAGCACGAGGCAAAGAAATAGCGACACTTAGGCTAATTAGCGGCCTTGTTTGTACACTCAGCTGCCAACATTCGTGAGGATGATGCCTTAAGGAGGAAAAAAAACCCAACAATGACAAAAAACCCATGGGGGCTACTGTGACATCATCACAAAATGATGACATCGGGACATACTGATGACATCATCACGTGTCCAAGCACGTGTCCCCACCTCCTCACCGCTACTTTCATATGTCCTCTTTTTGTTTCCTACTTTCCATAACTGACTAATTTGAATGCTCATGCTAATTTTTATAAACAATTGTGTGAGCCCGCGGGAGCCACGGCACGCCATTTTATGTTGTTTTTCACATTTTTCTCTGCTGCCACTGGCAAGATGGCACATTCAGCCCATGAAAATGGCGTGTGGATGCTGCGCCAATTGTGTGCTGCTCTTTGGTAGATGCATGTCAATTTTGTGAAGGTGCCGTGTTGATTGCAGATGGTAGCGTGTCGATGGCAAGTAGCTGGCATGATGCTATGGTGTAGAAGCGAATGGCGTGTCGCACATAGATGGCGTGTTGCTTCTGTGGGGCTGAAGTAAGAGCGTGGCTGGCGCATAGTTGCGGCGGTCTTACTCGTGGTGTTGTATCGGACGCCGTACAACATCTCGGGACACGGTCTGGACACAATGTGAGCGGCGGGGCTGCGGGGCCAGCAGGTGCCGATGCCGTCCAGTGATACCTCGCAATATGCGTCTCCCGCCCCTGCAACACGAGCGACATGCAAATTGGGCGTTGGCCGGCTTTAGCATGCACTTGTTGCGTGTCTTGGGTGTTGTTGCTGCCTCACCGGTTGGCTGGACGCTGGCGTTGCTCAGCATCATCTGCGTCTCGTTCCAGGAGGACGCCAGCGATTGGACTGAAAACACAAGCAAGACGTCACATCACATCAGCGTGCGGACACATCAGGTCCTTGATCTGCAGCTCAGGGTCCGTGTACTAGTTCATTCACTATCCTCACTGGGAGAAAATTTTTCCCACTAGTTTGACAATTGTGTCTTATCAGGAGCATTTTTCCCAAGACTTGTTACACTTTTGGCTGACTCGTAAACAATTAAACCTTACTAGTCTACCACAAGTAAAATGAGTTTCCTTTGTGTGTGTGTGTGTGTGTGTGTGTGTGTGTGTGTGTGTGTGTGTGTGTGTGTGTGTTTAAGGGCAACAGTAAGCGATGGTGACAGGGGTCCCCGCGGCCACATGGGCACCACCACAGCAAGGAAGAAAGCAGTCGTGTCCTCGGGCTTCGCCGTTCTTCCTCTGACAACTTGGGAGCCTTCGGAGCAGCGGGACCATACTCGAGGGGGCGGGGCACGTAGCCCGTGGGGAACGCCGCCTGGCTCCTACACTTAAACACTCTTTGAAACGTCAAAGCAATTCAAGTCACATCTTGAGGACGCCTAGTTATTTTTAACAACACGTCAGCTCGGCTGCTCATTAGGGCCTTGGTACGCACGTCGACATCGTTCATTAATGATGATGCCGACCAAATGATTCATTAATGATGATGATGATTGAGTCATTCACAAATTTATTGATGGGAAGGAGCCATTCAAGGATGAGCACAATCAGCACGGTGCCTCATTCACTGATGTTCGACAAGCAAACAGCAGCTTGTGACAAAGTACAAGATTAGGCTATGCTAATTAGCCCGCAACACACCGATGACTTCCAAGCACACTCTCGCCTGTGTGTGTGCACGTTATGAAAAGAGCATCCTGCCCTCCCCTGGCAGGAAGTAGAGCTGACTTTCAGTGGACTTGATTCTTCCAACGGTCTTCGAACCGGACTCCCTCAAAAGAGCATCAAAGAGCTGCAGCTCGGGCACTAATCACTTTTCTTTTCTTTCCTTCTGAATGTGCTTCCCTTTGTGGTGGCTTGTGTGAAGCACATTGAGTTGCCTTTTGTATGAAAAAAGTTGCCTTTCAAAAATCATCGAATCTAGAAACATTCGAGAGTGACAGCCCTCGAATGCTGCCATCGGTGTGATGTGCGCATTCCAGCCACGTGTGCGTGTGTCGTCTTACCGGAGGAGGCATTGGCGGCCGCGCCGAGGATGGCGTCGCACGTTGCATCGGCCCGAGAGGCCGACGGCAGGAAGACGCAGAGGGCGGCGCACATCTGCAGAAACACACGCAAACGTTCACGCCTGTCACATGTCGTCACAGTGTCACCGCAGTGGCGGAAAGACAGGGCAAGCAAGGCCCGCTCTGCTCGAACTAACACTTTGTCGTGCGCTGGCTGACTGCCATTCATATTCCAAATTCTCATTTGTTTTCTATGAAATTGTTCCCACAATGGTGTTGGTTGCTTCCACTGCGTGGACGTTTGATTTTGTTTTATGCAATCGGATTTCAGCCTGCTAAGTCAATCTGTTCTGCACACTTGGTACTACACTGGGCTTCTCCACCTCTGTGGCACGCCACTGTCACTGTCGCATGCTGATGACATCATCACGGGATGTGTGACATCATCAAAACACAAGGTCGTGGAACTGTCATGTGAACTCTTGACTTCACGTGTAGCGTAACAGCTCACGTGTCTCGTGTTGACCAAGGTTTCACGCACACGCATACACACACACACACACACACGAGGAGATCACAGCTGCGACCGCGCTTTCATCTTGGATCGCTTTGGTGAAGCCTGGATGAGCGCACAGAAACATTTTGCGGGGAAAAAAATCCCAAGTGGAACCACACACCTAGAACATCCTGACTGGAACATTCCGACTCAAACATCCTGAGCGGATCTTCTCGACCACAACAACTAACTAGAACATCCCGAATGGACTCAAAAGACCCTGCCGAGAAGCTCCTGACTGAACAGCCTAACTTAATAGTCCTTGACCACAACAGCCGAACTGGAACATACCAAGTGGACACAATGAACAGAACATCCCGGACTAGACCTTCTTGACTGGAACGTTCCAACGCTCCCATCGCAATTGGAAAGTGCTCACCAGGACTTTTGAACCTCCTGAACCACCCAACGAGAAGCCGACTGAGCATTGTGAGCATCCTGACCGTAGCTAGCCAACTTGAGGATCCCGAGTGACCGTCTTTGCTGTGGTGGGAGCCACTCACTCATTGCCTCCTCCCCCAATCACGATACGTGCTTTTGGCCATCGGGCACTTTGATAATTCTGGAACAAACAAAACAAAATCATGAAGCAGTCATCATTCATTACTTCCTCTGCAGCTATTTTTGTAATGGTGGACTGTCTAGTTGACTCATTTCTCCAACCCAAAATATTTTGGGGCAACATTATTTTCTCACGACCACGTGCAGTCAAGGTGCATTGTGGGATACACAGAAGCCAACCAGAAGAGTGAACTTCAACTGATTACTACCAATGTTCCAAACCCCTTTTTCTTTCGAACCGATACCAGCGATACTGAATACCAATAGTACTGTTGCCTTTGAAACCATAAATTTGGCTGAACACACTTGACAGATCATTGTCAACAAAGACCTTTCCTTTCTTCCTTTGTGATGCACAGCACGACTCGCCCAACTGTCAAGCGCTCACAATGCAGTGTCAACTCCTGGTGAACTGGACTTAGCCCATGCCAGATGTTGTTGCCTTAAGTATCGGTGGCTGGTATCAACAGTCTTCACCTGTACCCGATACATTGAAATAAGGCTGGTGGTATCCGTACTTGCCCAGCCCTACTCACTCGACATTCCAACAGATGCCCAAACCTGCTCTGACATGGCATCACATGTCGTATGATGATGACATTGTCTGATGCTAAAGTTGTGATGATACACAAAGAAAGTTGTTCTGTCAAGACAAAATAAAGAACCAATCCTTCTTTGTTTCTAACCACTCGACAATGTGTTGCTCTTCAATGTGACTATGTTGTTGGGTTTTGGGAAATGGGAGCAAGTCAGAAGAAGAGAACTCACCTGGAGGACAAACATTTTGCCCTCACATCCTTCTCAGAAGAAGAGGAGAGGAGGCAGAAAGGAGGAGAGGAAAAAGAAGGGAAGCTCTTGCGCTCATGGAGGAGCGGGTGTTGTGTCCACGAGGGGGAAGGAGGTGCAGGTGGAGTGTTGTTGTCTGCGGCCAGCCGGCGATCGATCGCTTCTCTCGCTCCTCTCCCCCCCACTGTCCGTCCTCAAGCGAACCTCCTCGTCTCCGTCCTCCTTCTCCTTCTCCTTCTTCCTCTTCTTGTCCTTCTGCCGGCCCGACGACAAGTCCGCGGCGCGTCGGCTCATCCAGCTGGCGGTGACGCGCCGCGGACACGCGCGTCAACGCACCGCCCACCCGAGGCGAGACGCGCGCGACCTCGCGCGAAAGGTGAGAAGCCTGCGCGCGCGCCAAAGTTGTGCAGAGCTCCCTGCTGGCCTGGTGGGAAACGAGAGACAGACCCGCACCACGCCACGGCGAAGTCTTGCGCGGCGCGCGCACGTGTGACGTGTTTCCATTTGGACCGGTGCCAAAGTGGGAGGAGCCGAAGGGTGGCACCCGTACGCGTGCGCGCTTGCAAACGCAATGATCCACGACAAAAAAAAAAAGAGTGATGACGTTAACAATTCTTACTATATGAGAGGCGAGACTCCGAGACGTCCAGCAACTTGTAAATGAACCAAGGCAGGAGTCAAAGAAGGCATGAATGATCGAGTGGTGGAGTGAATGAATGAAGGAGTCAATCAAGGAGGGGAGCGAACGTGTAGACCAGGGGCGGGCAACTCCTGTCCACGAGGGGCGCTACCCACCCTGTTTTACATAGTCCAACACACCTGATTCAAAAATCTGGGAAAAATCTCAGACATGCAGGATGGCGGCCCTCGAGGAGCGCAGTTGTCCACCCCTGATGCAAAGGCTAAAATGGACATGTTAACCCACCAAATCACCATCCATTTAGGTTCGTGCATTTTCTGAGGAACATCCTGAAGAAATTAAGCTAATGGTCGATTCTTAAAACTAATCCTTAATTGCAGGCAACATCTGATGGTCTGCAGAGATCGCCACCTGCAGTTTGGATGTGGGCATTGCGTCTAGGAACAAGCCACAAAGTCCATCCAAAATAAATGAGTGGAAAACAAGCAACTGTGAGTGAGTCCTGCACGTCCACCCCAGCAGAGCAAACAGGAAGTTGCGGTCAAGTTTTAACTGTTCGCTTATGGCAAACAGCACAGCCGGCGGGGAAGCGTTCTGGTCCTAGTTAAACTAGGGCAATCTTTGTGCTGCAGTGAGGTGACAAGCAAGAAAGGGTGAAAGCTTGATTGTCTCAGAAATGAAAAAAAATGTTTGACATAACGCCGAAAGGAGGCCAAATGTTGAGGCGTAGACAAAAGCTTGCTCCTGATTGGCGGCAGGTGTCAAAATGGACAAATCCCGCTTCCTCATTGGTTGCTCGTGTCTGACTGGACAAACCAGCTGTGTTTTCCTTGGCAGAGGTTGCATAACGCGGATATTTTAATCAAGCTCCCTGCAGCTGGAAAAGGGGACAATGCTGAAATCCCCCTCACCCTCCCATCGCCACCCACGCTTGCCGTCGCTCTCTTATCCCCCTCCTTGCCTGCCCCCTGAATCGAAAAGACAATTTGTCTTCAATCAGCCAACATCGTCCATACACACTCACCTAGGCCTTAAATCCTCCCTTGTACATATGTGTGCGCTTATCCTTGCTTTCCCCAAAATATATAGATATAATAGTGGGAGTCTACCATGTCGCAACCAAGAAGCTACCACAGAGAAGCTGACATGAAGCCAGCTATCAAGACGCTAACATTCGGATAGGTTCCTATCATGAAGAAAAAATATATATTTGAAGATTCATTTATTTAGATTTGAAGCAGCATTTTGTCCTTTGGTACTAACATTTGGAAGCTAACGTGGAAACTAACAGGAATAAGCTAACAGGAAGCCAATGTGGGTTCCCCCCCCCCCCCCCAAATGTGCCTGCAAGGAACACGACGCAAACATGGTTTGAGTGCGATGCAAAGTTCTGCAAAGAGCGAGTGAGGACACTTTGATGTTTACAACTTTGTACAAAGTAATTGTAGAAAGTACTTTTGTGATTGAGTACTTTTTGAAAGTAGTTTGGAGGCTTAGGAAAAAAAAAAACTTCAAAGACTTTGTGAGCTCGTCAAGTTTTGACCCAGAAAAGAAGACAGTCACTTAGTCTAATGCTTTGTGTGTGTTGCGTGTGTGTGTTGTGAGTGTGCATTTAGTTGTGTGTGTGTGCATGCTGGTCCTTGTTTTGTTAGCTCTGGGTGTGTGAATGTGCATGTGTGGGTGATGTGGATGTTGTATGCTTTGTGTGTGTGTGTGTGTGTGTGTGTGTGTGTGTGCGTGCGCATGCGTGCTGGGCCTTGTTTAGCAAGATGTTGGGGTATGTGTGCACGTATGTTTCAGTGTGCATGTTTTCTGTGCATGTAACGGATTTGCATGTGTGGGTGCGCGTTTTGTTTGTGTGCAAGTGTATTTGTATCACTCTGTTTTGTGTGTGTGTGTGTGTGTGTGTGTGTGTGTGTGTGTGTGTGTGTGTGTGTGTGTGTGTGTGTGTGTGTGTGAGAACATGACCTTGTGAGTGTGCGGGAGTCACGTGTGGTTTGTTTTTGTGTGATTGTGTCTTGTTTGTGTGCATGTGTTATATGTGTTTTCGTGTTTGCATATGCATGCCTAGGGTATATTTGCGTGTGTGTGTGTGTGTGTGTGTGTGTGTGTGTGTGAGTGTGTTGGCCGACATCCCGCGAACCGTGTTTGCCGTGTTGGCTAACGACGTCAAGAAACTTGGCGCCACTTGAAGTTATGATTCTTTTCCAAGACGAAAACAAAGGCTGCATTGGGACTCATTGATTCATTCCCAAATCGCGAAACACTATATCGGGATGATTCTACAGTGGACTTCGTAGTTGACACTTGAGCTGAAACCATTAATCGAACACCCCCCTCACTACTATATTGGGAATTTTATTTCATGCCATCATGTGAGGATGAGAAGTTCAGATAATGGATGAACTATAAAGTTGACCCTCAGGCTGAAACGAAGCGATTAGCCTCTAATTACTTTGGAGGGATTTGCTACGAAAAGGCTAATTCATGATGTAGTACACAAAAAAGTGTATTTTGACGACAGGCAATATCCAGTGGGATGGGTGGATAAATCGGTGTACGTGGGGGAGGGTGGCCGGAGATGAGCACTCAGCCTCGAGAAGATGAACTATTGATTTTGTACCGCAGCGGCGTGAGGAAAACTTGTTAGCGCTTGTGCGATTATTTGGAGATTACATTTGTCACAGGCAGATGACAGCCCATCTATCCCCCCCGCACGATAAGATCTATCATCGTTTACACACTGAAGACCGACGACACGCACGCCTGTCGGGGGGAGCGTATGAGAAACGAGCAACCGGTTCCTAACCAGCCAGACAAATCATCACGCTGCCGACTCACAGCTCCTCCCGCACCCGCAATCCATACTTGCAACGGACCGTTGGACAAACACTGTCCTCTCACTGGACTGAGAAGATAAACACTTTCTTCTCATTGACCGCTCTCATGTTTGACTGCTTAAATAATCGCTCATCATCGGCTGCTCATATCTGCCTCGACCAACACTCAATGCTTGCGCCCAAGTGGCTCTCACTTCGACGCAGGCCATACACGTCGCATGTTTATGTATTGATCAAGTATTGATTCCAATATGACGTGAATATTTTTGTGTATGTGTGTGTGTGTGTGTGTGTGTGATGTGAGCGAGGAGACAGCGGCGTGTGCGAAGGTGAAACCACAAGTGACGGTCAAACAGCGGTCGCCTTTTAATGACTGCTAAAAATAAAAGGCAGCCAGCAGGCGCGCGCGCGGCGCCGGGATACAAACACAAGAACACAAACGTGAACCCGTCAACACACCAACAAAGAACGGAGCACACGCGTGTTCTTTCTCACAGATATCACCTGAAATGTGAAGCGAACATGTTGATGCTAAAATGATGCGCAAGCCCATATTTGAAAAATTTGCCTGGAAACGCTAATGTGGGGTGAACAAAGCAAAACTGTAGAAGCTAACATGATGCTGGCGTGTAAAGCTAACCGATCACCAAACAGTGTACAATCAATCAATCAATCAATCAATCAAATGTGCACCTATTTTAGAAGTGATTCAGTAATAAAGTGATTCAGTAATTGATTAAGAAAATAGATAAGAAGAAAACGTTATCAAGTTACTTAATTAGAAAGACGGACTTGGTTTAAGAGGCACAGAGTGTGTCCTAGAAAGGTCAGCGGTCATGTTCTGTTGTTCTTTTCTGTCCTCTGGTGTTGTTTAGGTGTCATTACAACCAAATGTCCAATCTTCTTTTTAATTTGTAAAACTATTAATCAAATTCATCTCATGAGTTGAAACGCACGCGCGCACACACACGCACACACACACACACACGCACACGCACACACGTACACACACAGACACACATTTAGACACACATTTAGACACACACACACACACACACACACACACACACACACACACACACACACACACTCACTCACTCACTCACATCCAAATATAAAAGTTTCAACGCACTATTTTCAGTATTTTCATGAGCTCGTGTTGTTGCGTGCGTATTTCTGTGAGTGTGTTTGTGTGTAGGATGAAAAGAGAGTCTATGTGTGTGCGCGTGTCTGTGTTTACGTGTTTTGCGCGTATGTTTTGTCAATGCGTCTGACGGTCAAGTTTTCGTCTTGTGTATGTTTATGTTTCGTGGGTGCGCGCGTCCACTAGCCGCAGTTCCGGTGGCGACCAGAAGAGGACGCCATGTTGTCGGCCCTCCCCTCATACTGCCATCCACAAACAAGAGGCGCGTCAATGTGTGTGTGTGCGCGCGCGCGCACTGCAGCATCGCGGCGCGGCCCAGAAGCGAACCAGCACTTCCTTGCAGGCTCCAGGACCGAGACCAGGATCCGTATCACCAGGATCCCCCGGGTGGGACCGAAGCGGCAACCACTCAGTCCGTCCGTCATGACATGTAGCTGCGGCGATGGGGGCCGTGCGCGTGTTTCGTGTGCTCGTCTTGGCGTGCGTGTGCGCGCTGTGGGAGGCCAAGTCCGTGCACGAGCATTTTGGTAAGCTCTCGCCTCGCGCGCTTCATGCCATGGGAGTGGTCGCAGGCACCAGCGAGGCTTCGGGTTATCTTTTGTTCATCACTCTCATTTTCAGCCTCAGCTTCATCGACGTCATGCGAGCGAGCTTCACGTGCACGCGCAGCGACCGTCATGTGCGCGCGCGTGTGATCATTGTGCGCTTTTAATGTCATCTTCATCATCTCCGTCATCTTCATCGTCGTCAGGTCGTTTTTTGTGAGGGCCATGACGTCATTATGTTGCTGGCTTGCGTTCTGACGTGCCCGCGCACAGATGCACAAAGACCAAAATAGGAGAGAAGCTAAAATGGCGGTGGATGTGTTTCGTGACATC